TATCGCGCCTACTACCCCCGAGGGATTTGACTTTCGAGCCGCAAGTACGTCGTTTGATACTTTCATATTCGGGGAATATCTTGCGCTGTGTGGCCCCCCAAAAAAATCCTACGCTATGTTCAGTTTATTATTTAATTATTTAATACTTTATATAAAATATTGAATAATAATAATTATTACTTTTTTAAATAAAAGGAGATGAAATTACGTGGACGGAACAGGACAGCAACAGGCAGTGACTGATCACCACACGAGGGTAACCCCATGTGATAAACGTTAAATCGGAATGAAATGGGTGTGACGTTCTGGTCTAAAATTGTAATATAACAGCAATATATATTTTCATCTGTCATACATGCAGCCCAATCCAAGCTTATGATTATTACATGCCAAATCATTTCCTATAAATTACAACATCAGATAGAATTTAAAGTAGGCCACATTATTTATAAATTATAAATAATATTTTTTTGTATTAAATTATATGATACTTTAAAAAAAATTAACATCTTAAAATATAAGACATATTGATAAAAATAAAATTTTATTAATATTATCCTTTTCATATATTCTCTTTCTTTAATATTTTTTTATTAATGAAATATTAAATTAAGGGTGTTTTTTAAAGTTTATACTTTTATTTTAAAAAACTAATGTTATAAAGTGTATTTAATGAGTTTTATTGACATGTGAGATTTTGTCTAAATATGTCATATAATTTTAGGACGGAAGGAGTATAATTTATTATGAATTTTATATCTTATATTGATTGATTAATATAACTAGATGTACTAATTATATTCACAATCTATAAATAATGTAACTTATTTTCCAGACTGCTAGCAAGGTCAGGAAAAATGTGTTCAATTGTTTACAAAAAAATAATTAATTCGTATTATATAATTAACCTCTTTATTTTGGTAAATTTATGGAATGCTTAATTACTTGACTTATAAAAAATTAGGTAAATTTAATTTTTAGTTCCTGTATTTTACTCACGTTTTGCTTTTGGTTCCTATATTTTTTTTCATATTTTAAGTCTCTACATTTTTATTTTTTATTGTTTTAGGTCCTTCCAAAACCTCTATACTTTGCTCATAGAGAAACTGACAATAATAAAAAATAAAAGTGTAAGGATCTAAAATGTCAAAAAAAAGTATAAGAATAAAAAATAAAACGCAAATAAAGTATAGGGATCAAAAGTTATGCTTACCTTAAAAAAATTTAGTTATACTTGTAAATATAAAAAGGATTAAAATGCATTTTTATTTCTATACTTTTCTTTAGGTAATGTTGGTTGTTGGGTAACCTGTATTAATAAGTGAGGTATTTATTTTAAAATTATTTTTTAGGAGAGCAAAAATCTCCCTCCATTAATGGATTGCTCACAAAAAAGTATTTTTGCTCTTTTAAAAAATAGTTTAGAAAAAAAATACTTCATATAGGATATATAACATTCTTTAAAATAATGTATAGGGATAAAAATGTATTTTAATTTAATATAAAACAATGCATTATGGCCCAAAAAAAAATGCATTATCAGCTAACTTGTTCGGGGGCTTGAAAATCCTTTCCTCAAAAGTTCGAGTAGTTCTGTGTTGGGCTTAATCAAGGAATCAACTTTAGTGGTTGAGCAAATAAAGCTAAGGAAAATATCAATCAAGTACTCCTAAAAGAGTTTTATGTCATTTAGGGACCAATAGGTTTACAAATTTCACTGTAATTTGTTGGTTCTTAGTTGATATTATTTTTTCTAGTGGTGAGTCTTTTTGGCAATAAAATTAGTGACTAATTATTCGTAAGTAATAAGCAAAATATATCATTAATTTTAGATTTAGTGATGGATCGTCTGTCTCTAGTTTTCATCACAAATATGATGTCATTAATTTAGCGACCAAGATGAATTTGTCATTAGTTAATAAACTTTATTATTAATTTAATTTATAATTAATTTTTTTGCATGTCCAATCATTGCTATATCACCTCTAATGCCATCTCACAAGTACACATTACTCACCATTTGCCATATCGTGGCCACTTGGACCTCCACGCCATGTCACTATTATGTTAATAATTTGTTTTAATTCTCTAAAAATGTGATGTTGTCTCATCCTAAACTTAAAACTTCTCTCTTTTCATAAATGTTTTTGCCAGTTGAGTTGTAATGACATTTTATTCTTAATACGAAAAATTTAATATATATTACCTAATTGAACATATATATTTAATTTAAATATATTTAATATATTATTATTTAAATATGTTGATAATATATATTATCATACACACGCATTAATACATAAATATATATAATTTAATATTTATTATTAGTTAAAAAAATATATTATTTAATACCAAATAATATATATTATGAAAATAAATATTTGTATATATCGTCTTATATTATCTATGTTATAATTAAAATATCTTTATATGGTAAAAATTTTATTTTATATTTAAATTTACATAACAGAAGGAAAAATATTTTTTATTTTTATATTATATATTTTAATTTTAGTAAGAGAAAAATTATTTGTTTTATTATTTAATTTGATAATTTTGAAGATTTTTTTAATGCGAACCTTTCTATGTATGTTCATGACGAACAATAAATACTAAGCGTGTCAGAGACGTTGAGTTTCAATTGATAACAAAAGAGTCCTGAGCTCCCTTACCATAATTTATTCGGATGTAAAAAGATATAAAACTTTGGTAGAATAAGTGTTTGATTTTATTGAAATGTAAAAAAAGTTATAAGGTCTAAACTGAAAGATACAGTTGCTCAGCATAACTAATCCTGTGATCTATTTGAGCGACATTTCATATTTAGCCTAAATACTTATATTATAAATTATTTATTTTTATACAATAATTGAGCTCATTTTACTAATTTTTTAATTAAAAATATTTATCACTAATATAAAGATTGAGCAATGGAAATTAGGGAAGGATTTAAATCAATCACTAAATTTATAAAATTTGACCAAAATGTGACTGTATCCTATTTCCATTACTAATCAATTTGTCACAAAATTTCCATTACTAATGCCTATAATTGTAACGAATTAGAGATCTGTTATTAATTTTAATTTTTTTTGTAGTGACTAAACTGCCCCTAAATTGTTATTAGGAATTTGACAAGGACATACTTGGTATTAACAACAATTCATTCTCACTTTAATAAGTTCAAAATAAGCTTAAATTTATAAATGTTAATTTTACATTAACAACAATTGATTCACCTTTTGACAATATCCTATTCAAGAAAAACAACCCATTTTGAATTTTACAACTTCAAAAAATGATAGAATAGGCTTAGACATATTTACAGTTTTTGGTTTTACGTCAACAACAATTCATTTTCTTTTTGACAAGAACCCATTCAAGAATATAGTTAGTAATTCAGATAAGTTAAGTTTATTTGAGTCGGGCTTAATTTAGGTTGGGCTTGAAGTATCATACGCTTTTGAAAAAGCACATATAATTAAAATTATTAAGCCTGACCCTAACTTTTTTTGACTAGGTTTAGGTTGGTTCGTCAAACTTGATCAAAATTATTAACTTTATATATATATAAAGCTGAAAATTTTAAAAGTCAAATTTATTCAAGCTGAGCTTAAAGTATCAAATCCGCTTAAAAAAACATATATAGCCAAACCCATCAAGCTTGATTTGAATTACGGTTCTATTTAAAAATAATAACAACACATTTTGAATTTTACAATTTCAAAAAATAATGGAATGTATGTAGATTTATAAGTGTTGGTTTCATATTAACAACAATCCATCGTCTTTTGAAAAAAAAACGTATTTCAAAATAATGATAACCCATTTTGAATTTTAAATTTATGGTTGATTTGGACTTTCTTGAAACAAAATTAATATCAACCAGAGATTAATAGATTGCATTAAAATATGCAAATCTATTGATCCTTAAATGATATAAACTTCTTCCAAGGGTCATCCGTTGATATTTTCCTATAAAAGTAGAATACTTTATTTCCCAAATGTGTTCAAACTTTCATTAAAAACAGAAAAAATAATTATATAACTTCATTAAAATAAAGATTTATATAATGAATTTTTTATTTTTATATTAAATTCATATAAATTATAAAAATAAAAAATAAATAATTAATTTCTAATAATATTTTTTGTAAATTTAAAATAAAATTTTAATATAATTTCAGTTTAATGACAAATTATATAATTTCTGGTTACTTAAAGTGTCCTCACTCCTCACATTCAACAGATTTAGGATTAAACTCTTAAGAAATTTAAGCATTTTTTAAGGGATGAAAATATCAATACGATTAATGATTAGGTTAATATGTAATGTAAACGATAAACTATAAGTTCATAAATGATTTGAACCTTGATGCATCTAATGTTTAAAATTAAATTATCCTTAGACTTACAGTTTAGGGTCCAGATTATATATTAACTCTTAATAATATAAATATACATTTTTTTTAAAAAAATCATTCATGAAATCAAGATTCTTCCTTAAAGTCTATGTACTTTTTTTTTTCTGAAAAACAAAATTCTATGTACTAATGCTCTAAAAATTGTATTCCATGTTTGTTGACATGCTCACCTCAAATACTATGCAAATACACGGGTTGCCTTATAGTTGATTTACTAATTAATTGATTAATAGTCACCAATAGGCTGACTCATTTCAATTTTCAATACCCATGATTTGTTCAAAATAAAGAAGGTTAATTATCAGACAAAAAATAAAAATAAGGGATATACTGGAAGGAAGAGGCGTTGAATCATGAATGAAAATGAAAGCGAGATAGCCAAACCGGGACGAACGGAGCCGATAAACGGTGAGATATGTCTGTACCGAGAGCGTCCAAAACTCCAAATTGCTGATGCTGCCGTGGCTGCGTCCGCAAAAGCTTCTAATTTTCCCGTACCCTCCACGTGTCCCTTTTTCATTGGATTCAATATTTATATTATTTTCCTCTTCAACTCATAGACATTACCCGGGAGCCAGCCACCACACTCTCTCTCTACCACTTTTGAACCCTCTTGTCTCAACATATGCTCCTAAAATCTTCATCGGAGCTCCTCAGTGGGTGGAGAGAGAAACTTAACTGAAATTTTTTTGTTGACATCTGAGTCACAAAACTTTGGGACCTTGGAAAGACCAAAAAGGGCAGGCCTTCAACTATGACCTCCACGAAGCTCGTCTCAGTTTCAACACTCTAGCTTCGCCGATTCCCTTGGATGTATGTTTTCTGCCGGAGTTTTTTATTGCGTCTATTGTAAGTTGCTTTTTCCTTCTTTTCTCCCCCTTTTGTTTCTTTCAATGGGTTTTCTTGAGATGAACTGCTCTGGAAGGCCAGCTTCTGACTGAAGCAAACCTTACTTTGACAATTTTTAAACAGGGGTTTACTGCAAGGGAAACATGCTAAATTTGGGGTAGGAAGAAGAATATTTGATTACTTTCAGGCTCATCGGTAAAAGAAAAGGTTGTCTTTTTTTCTTTTTCTTTTTTCTTTTTCTAATTCTTGCTGTGGACGAGAAAGTAAAATTATGATGATAAATTTGGGAGTGGGTGATTAGCTTTGAGAGGAATTGCGATTTGTTTTGATCCATTGGAGTTGTTGTTGTCCATATAGGAGGGCATGTTCAGGGGAAGCTGGGTTTATTGGAATTAAAACATAGTATTTTTTGTGTAGTTAACAATTGAAATGAGGAATTCGGGTATAGTTTAAGGTTGCAGCATGAGTTACAGCGACAGGAACAGAGGAGCAAAAGAGAGGGAATGTGAAGAGTCAGTCTTGCAGAATTCCGGGGAATTAGAGTCCAAATCGGTTGGGCAGAATGGATCGATTACAAGCCCACAGCTATCGATCGATGAGAATCTTCTGGTTGACCCTACACAACTCTTCATTGGTTCAAAAATCGGTGAAGGAGCTCATGGGAAAGTTTATGAAGGAAGGTCAGTGACAAAGTCGCAATCAAGGAAATTTTACAATTCGCTTTCACTGTTTGTTGTAAACTCATGTGAATATATTGGTCGGAAGACCTGTTAGTGTTAAAACAATAAAACATCCCTTACCCCTCAATTTCTTGCGAAGCAGCTAACTTTTCGTTGATTTCTTATTACTAATTTCAATAATCTAGTTGACTAATTTAAAATGTCTAATTTCTTTCACAGTTTCACTTTCAAGTCCATATTAATTTTTGCTGAGATACTGATCCCTTACGCTTTTCAAGAGGCACTTGGTTCTCTGTTTAGTCATGTAACAATCAAGAGTTAGCGCAGAATATATTGCCTTGAATCATGGATGAGCTCTATAACTTAGTGTATACACCAAAATGTTTGCTGGCGGCTAGAGTCCTGGTTTATTTAGGTGTAGATTAATTAATTTCCAGGTATGGAGATCAAATTGTTGCAATTAAGGTTCTACATCGTGGGAGCACTTCAGAAGAAAGAGCGGCCCTTGAAAATCGTTTTGCTAGGGAGGTTAATATGATGTCCCGTGTCCATCATGAGAATCTGGTTAAGGTGAATGCCGTTGTTAATTTGTTATAGATGTGCCCATCATGAGAATCTGGTTCACATTTTCTTGAGCCTTGTTATTTGACTAATTGTTTCATAGTATGCAACTGAATGTACTTCTTCATATTTGCAGTTTATTGGAGCTTGCAAGGATCCTCTGATGGTTATAGTCACAGAGCTGTTACCAGGGATGTCGCTGAGGAAATATTTGACTAGTATACGCCCTGGACTATTAGACTGTCAGGTGGCTATAAATTTTGCCCTTGATGTTGCTCGGGCCATGGATTGCCTACATGCTAATGGGATCATACATAGAGATTTGAAACCTGGTACTTTGTTTTCCTTTGTATATACTGCAATATTTGTAATGAATACACTGTTTGTCACACATTTACTGTTTTGTTATGTACTCTTTGGTCAAGTGTATTCTAGTTGATGGTTCTGTTCAGTAGTTGTTGAAAGCTTTGTGAAATTTGCTTTGGATATCCCTTTCTTTTTCTCATAATGTTTCTTTACGGCTATAAATGCCATTATCCATGCATGTTTTAATCTGTTCACTTATGGACTCTTCTGATATCTTAGTTGTTACTATGAGCACTGAACATTGTTATTGGTTATGGTTAAGGAAAAAGATGCAAGCTTCTTTGTTTATTTGCTATATTGCTATCATTGTGGGGTTTATTTCCTTGCCGGCTTTTTGTTTGCTTGACCAGGACTCTTTCAGTAGTTACTTCTCTATCCTCTCTGAAAATGAAGAGTGAAATGATAAGGTTAGAAATAATGATAACGTTAGGTGACAAGTGTTTAGAACATTGTTGTTCTGGATTTGACATTTTGCTCTAGGTGTGGCATCTCATCTTAGTAGTTTCTGACACTTGTGTTGTGGAGAAGAATATAGTTCTGCACTAAGTTTCTAGCGTCAGTTAGTATTACTCACTTCCTTTAACTACTTTTCTTTATTTTCTTTTTTCTTTTTGGAAATTTTATGTGATGCAGACAATCTGTTGCTTACGGCAAATCAGAAGTCTGTAAAACTTGCAGATTTTGGTCTTGCAAGAGAAGAATCTGTCACTGAAATGATGACTGCAGAAACTGGAACTTACCGTTGGATGGCACCAGAGGTATCTTGTATTCTAAAATTATCATATCACTAATAAATATCTGAAAATGTGGCTGGACGGTCAACATTACTGCATGTTTTGGTGCTTAACATCTTCTTTCATGAACTAAGAAGCATGGATACTGAACATGATGTTGACAGCTTGTGACATGATAGAGTCTAAAGTGGTCATATTTAATTTAACCTGTCCATCACGTCCAATGCAAGTCACACACAGACACTCTATTTTTTGTTTAAAATGAGTTTCGTACTTCAGCACAAATGGATAATTGAGCTGGGATGTGCTGGAGTTTGCCAAAAGCTGGACACAAGCTAGAAGTCATTCTAGTCATAGATCAGATAAATATCCATATTGTGCCTGTTATAGTCTTATATTTTGTTTATTCGCCCCAATTCTTGTGAGTAGATGTCAGTAATAACATAATGGTATTTGTTTCTTTTCTAAGGTTGAGCGGGTTCAATTCCAATGTTAAGATCATGTTTGTTTAGCCAAAGCTTATACTAGTACATATATTTAGGCCCTGATCAGTTTGAACATAAGTTATTTGTTGAAGGACTATATGGCATTGTTACTTCTGAAATTCCACCTGTCTCAAAATGCATTGCGAATTTGCTAGCTGTTTATGCATGTTCTTGTCACTAGGTTTTGATGACATAATGTCTTTTTTCAGCTGTACAGTACCGTGACATTGCGTCAAGGAGAGAAAAAGCACTACAACAACAAGGTTGATGTGTACAGCTTTGGAATTGTTTTGTGGGAACTTTTAACGAATCGCATGCCTTTTGAAGGGATGTCTAATTTACAAGCTGCTTACGCTGCGGCTTTTAAGGTGAAAAGGCTGGTTTCAGACTTCTCAGTTTCATTATTGTTGCTCTAGTTGTTACAGTTATGTAGTGGATGATGACTATTCATGTCATTTATGCTTTGTGGTTGAACAGTTCATGCTATATTTAGCTTCTTCTTTTTTTAAACTTATAAGCCATTTATGTAAATGAAGGATCGGATTTGTTGATAATGGTGACATGTTTTGCATGAGATTGCAGCATGAGAGGCCAAGCCTTCCAGAAGACATACCTCCTGATCTTGCCTTTATAATACAATCATGCTGGGTTGAGGATCCAAACTTGAGGCCAAGCTTTAGTCAGATCATCCGTATGCTTAACCCCTTTCTCTTCACTTTGTCACCTGCACCGCCCTCCCCTTGTTTGCAGGAACCTGAAAATGTTGAACCTGAAGCTGCAGCAACTACAAGCAACGGTGCGATAACCGAGTTTTCTGCCCGAAACAGAGGGAAGTTTGGATTTCTTCGCCATTTGTTCACTTCCAAAAGGACCAAAAACTAACAGTGAGTAGTAGATTTTTGGACAGCCCCTTTTTGTTGTAGATGAGAATGAGTTTGCCATGATGAAGTACATAATTATAATTCATTTACGAGTAATCGTGGGTGGATTGAAGACAACAAGTAGATGGAATGATGAAACAAGTTCTACAGAAGAATAGAATGATATTAATATACTCTTTTTTCTCCCTTTTTTGGAAAGAGCAAGGAAAAGGTAGGACTGTTGAAATCATCTAGTTGTTCTTGTTGTAAAGGAACACGTGGTTATTGGTTTAGACACCTTTCTGATGATCTGATCTAAAATATCCTATTGATTACTATGTAGCCATTTATTGTTTTTACGATTGAGTGATCATCAAATGTGGAAACATGCAAGAAGTTTTATCATCAAATGTGGAAACATACAAGAAGTTTTATCCCACTGAGTTGGGTTGGTTGTGTGAATTGCACAACGTTATTATGCTCTATCATTTAACATGGATGTTAAAGCTTTTAGAAATGTTATTAACTAAAAAGTTTAGGTTAATAACTTTTATAAGTGTTCTCATTGACTTTCATCTACTTTTTTTAGCAGGGCTTAAAATTAACCATTCTACTCTTTTCATTGGTGTGGCAGTGCCTCTCGAAGTTTTCTTCATATTTGTCCAAATCATTTTAAATGATTTTTTATCATTTTTCTTTCAATAATCTCTACGCTCACTTTTTTTTTTGTATGTGCTTATTTTAGATTTTATTTTTATGTATATAATCATACATCCATCTCAACATTCTCACCTTTGCTACTTTAACTTTTTGTTTTTGCTGTTTTATTAAAAATCAATATTCACTATTATATAATATAATTAGTTTTATAACAATTCGATAAAACTTTTCTTCAAGTTTATTAAGTATTTTTCGATTGCAAATAACTCATTTAACTATTTTTCAATTTTGCATCGTTTGTAATATCTATATCAATTTTTCTATCATGTTGAATAATAACTTTTAAATATTTAAATTTTTTCACTTGTTTTGATTTTTCAATTTCACTTTCAAATTATAATTGATTTACTTTTTATTAAAATTATAATGTAAATATTCTTTTAAATGTGGAAATGTATGATAAAAAAAAAGTATAAATTGGATCTTTGACACTCATGTTTAAAGAAAATAATGTAAAATGCAGCTGCACATAAACTTCACATTTTAATATTTTATCTTAATTTTTTTTAACTTTGTAATTTTTTACTTGGATGTTTGCATTCACCTATAAAGGGTCGGTCTCATGTATATATATGGAGCTCGAGACGACTTATGTTATTTATAGCTTTGTAAATAAAGTGGCTTCTAGCCCATTTAATATTTAATATAATTCGTAAACAATAAATTTTCAGACGCGTTTATATTTTATGTTGTTGATTGATATTGAAAGCTGCGTATTGAGTGGGGGAAAATGCAAACGATGTGCCAGTTTATGCATGGAGGAAGAGGATCGTAGGAAAATAGGCACGCTTGCTCTATTCACTTTGTCAGCATGGTAGGAATTTTTTTTTTTAAAATCTTTATCAGATGACATGTTCATTTGCATTTATATATGTCAAGGTAGTAGGAAATGAAGTGCAAGCAATTGTGGCCTTATTCACATTACTGATACTGATATTCTGGCTTAAAGAGGGGCGAAAAAAAAAAAATTACTGGTAATGCTAATTTGAGAGAGAATGGAACTTCATTAAGGGAAAAGTCAATATGGAGGTGAAATTCCTTGACTTTTTAAATGTTAAAAGTTGTTTGAAAATGTTTCATAAGATAAAATGACTTTTAAAATGTAAATTGATAAAAGCTTTGGATGTAAATTAATAAATTTTCATAAGCAACTTAGGGATAGATTTAAAATGTCAAGTGGGAGTTGAAGCATTTAATGAAGAAAATAAATATGAATCTAATTTTATAAATGATCATGCTCTTCTTCTTCTTCTTCTTTCTCTCTCTTCTCTTTGCGCACGACGAGTTCAGCTCTCCTCGGATTCTCTTTCTTTTCTCTACTCCTCTCAGTGTTGTCGTCTACTCCTCCGACCTCCCTCCTGTTGTCTCCATCTCCTCACCGTTGTTGCTCCCTCGTCTAGTGACCACAGATTGGACTTCACTCCCTCAATTTCTCCCGTTCGTGACTTGCTTTCTTCTTTTATTGCTGCGTTCCTCTTCTTCTTGTTTTCTTCGTTCCAAACATATCTGAGACCACTCACACTGGAGATCCTGATTCCCTCACGCATCGAGGTCCTCTTTGTATTTATAAGACATTTCGGAGCTCAGAGAAGCAAAAATAACTTGGGCCTGGTGCTTGTTGGAGAATGAAGCAGGGGAATTGATCGAGCACCTGGGTCCCATCCTTTAGAAGTATTTCCAGATTTGGGTCCAAGGAGATAGAGAGGTGACATTTTCCATTACTCCCTTTGTTCCATGTTCGAAGCTTGCTTGATTTGTTGGATTTGCATGTGCTCTGTTTAGCTTGTTTCTATAGAAGTATTTTAAAGCTTGCCCCCGTTGCATTGTTTGAACTTGTCTTTTCAATAATCTAGCATTCATTTGACTTCATTATTGATCACTCAAGGTGAGCCAATTTGGTTCAAGAAATTGTCAAACTTCATCACTTATACATGTGTGTGTTGGATAGAGAGAGGCAGCGGAAGATTAAAATTTTAAAATTTTTATCCTGATATGAACCGAACGAATTCATTTAAATCAAAGTGAATAGAAGAGTTACTTTTTTAATTCTTTAAAGTTGGCGTACGTTTGAATCTCAGGAGCTGATAATATAGATTTACTCCTTCTACCAGTATTTACACGAACAGCTCTTTAACTCGAATAACGTGCTAGTGCTCTCTGCGCCGTTCTTTTTTGAACGTTAATTTTTTTTATATGGTGTTTCGTGAATCTCAGAATGTTTTTGCCGTCAAAACTTTTCTAACTCTCTCTCTATTCCTTCATAAGGACGTCCTTATTTATATATAGTATATAGATAAGGGTTTTTATCTTTCACTTAAAAGCTCACAAAAATTTAATTAAATTTATCTTATAAATTTAATCCACAATATCATATCTAATTTAAATTTATCTTATAAATTAAAATTATAAAACTGACGTGATATTCTCTTTTATCATATTAGTTATTAAATTTAATGTATCATATAAAATTAAATTTAAAACTAACATAACATAACATAACATAATATATATATATATATATATATATCACATATACATATTATATTATATATATACACAAATATATATATCCATATATATTTTGAAAAAAAAAAATATATATTATATTATCTATATTTAATTTTATATATCATATACATCTATCATATATATATATTTGATATATATATACATATATATATATATATATAATTATATTTTAAATTTTATATTTCATATAAATATATATAAATATTTATCAAATAAATATTTAAATATATATATATATAATTAATTTATCCTATATTATATTCATTGAATCTAGATATATTTTAGATTCAATAAACTTAAACATTATAATTCGAGTTCGGCCATTTTTGTATGCGACCCTGTAAGCCCATATGAAATTGACAGTGGGCTAATTACACTATTAGCCCACAAGTTACAAGTGGCTTCTTGTAAGACATTGCAACTACCTAATTCATATGAAGATCGATGATCCAATGTAACCTATCATGCAACCATATTACATCCCTTTTATCACGCGATATTTCAGTCAAGTATGAGATATGAAATTGTCATTCTCCTTTACCTGACCATTACTTTCTCGATCTCTGAGTAGACTGACAGTATCAATGGAAAAACCCTTTCCATTGTAGTATGGCCATACATTTTCTCAGTCTTACTCATCGAGGGGCCCAGTAATATCTCTCACTTAATGTGAGGGACAAATTTTATCTTGACCACTCATATTCTTCTGCATGAATATTACTAAACTCAATCATAGCTTTTATGATCACCTGATCAAAGGTGACTTTTGACTAGGTCAAAGTTCAGTGGTCATCATTTAGGAATCCATGATAATCTCAGGTCAAAGGGCTTAGTAATATAGTTACATATGAGATAAGTTTATGATTTGTACCATGCAGCTTTCTCATAACGGGTCGATCCAACACATTGTACTCTTTCAAGTGCCTATTACTTTAATTTATATCTCTATAATTAATCAAAGTCATACCAATCTTGTTTTATATATGATCCCTCAAAGATAACTGATCAGGGACATTTAAGACAATCACTATAATTTGTTCAGGGATACAGTTATTATATTGAACATGCAATTATTATGATAATAAAAAAAAATTTATTAAATAATAATGTGCATAATATAATGATTGGTTCTAGGGTATAATTTTCAACAGTGTGCTGTGTCTTGTGTGTGATCATGTAATGGCATTTGGTTTGGTGTCTTGATTTTATATCATTCTTTCTTTAAATAGGATGGCGTAGGGGACCAAATTTTTCTTGCGTGTTTCAGGTAGTGTAGTGGCATATGGTTTACCGTCTTGATTTGTCTTCTTTCCATCTTAAGTTCTAGACCTGTTAGTTCAGCTCAGCATATCGTATGTGAACTGGACATGCCGTTGCAAAAGGTCTTTGGGCTTGTGATTCAATGCTCCGAGTTGTTCTTATTATATATTGGCATTTTACAAATTGTACGTAATCTTCTATGACAATATCTGTGATTTCCTTGCGTGTTTCATTTCCCATCTGTTTGCCTAATCTCGTTATTTTTGTTATTTGTGGATTAGCCTTCACTAAACATGGCTGACATTTGGTTCACCTATAGTGTGGGTTTGGATATCCATTTAGGATTTGTTCATTGGTTTGTTTTCCTGTACTATATAGGCGTTTGGCAAATAGAAAAGGCATACATTTGAGTATTATTGGCACTTAAAATTTAGTACAATACAAAGAATATTATTGACTTGGATCTACAAGGTTGAAAGTATCTTTGATAGAGTTGATTAACTGAACATCATTAACTCCCTTTTTTTTAGTATAACAATATTTGTGTTTTCCTTGTGTTTGTTCTGACTTGATTTTGCTCATTGTTGGTTCAATGCTCTGAATTGGGTATGACTTTAATACACACTCATATTTCATAGTTGAAGTATTATTGTCCATGTTGCTGTCACCATTTTTCTTGTTTTCCTAACAGCATATTGAGAATATGATATTTTAATAATCATGATTAAAGAAAAGACATTGTGGGCTATGGAAAACAAAAAACAAAAACAAAACTTTTCATCAAGTTAGCCTTGCAACAA